AGGAGGAGGAGGAGGAGGAGGAGGAGGAGGAGGAGGAGGAGGAGGAGGAGGAGGAGGAGAGGAGGAGGAGGGAGGAGGGAGGAGGGAGGAGGGAGGAGGAGGGAGGAGGAGGGAGGAGGAGGAGGAGGAGGAGGAGGAGGAGGAGGAGGAGGAGGAGGAGGAGGAGGGAGGAGGGAGGAGGGAGGAGGGAGGAGAGAGGAGGAGGTGCAGACGGCCGCCAGGGCGCTCCTCGCGAGGCCGAGGGACCCCAGGGGGGGCTCCGGCGCTCGGGCCATGGGGCGCCCTCCCGGGCCTCCAGCGGCTGGAGAGCAACGCGAGGCCGAGGACTTCTGCAGCGTGCGGCCTCGGAGGGCCCTCGCGGGGCCCTGGTCAGGAGCGACAAAAGGACGTACATGTACATGAATCCACGCTGGTTTCGAGAGTTCGCATTGCGCAAATGTTGTATAACGCGGCCGGTCTCGCGGATCGAGGGGCCGTGTTCATGTACATAGCTGGGCGCGTACGTCCTTCGTGGGCTCCCTACCTGGGGCCGTCGAGGAGCGGCTCGGGAGGGAGGGCCGGCCCAGGGGGGAAAAAGACAGATCCAGACCTCGAGGTACACCTTAGGCGATGCTTAAGAAAACCCAAGTTTTCGGCCAGAGGCTCGATTATTCTTAATGTCTCAATGTAGATCCTAAGATTTTAATAGAGATGTTGGGTTTGATTTCAAATTCTGAGACTATGAATTTCTTAACCCATGATTTCTAAAGCATTTCGCAGGGTGTACGGTCGGGCCGCTGAAGGAGGAACACTCTTCCTTGGGAAGGGGCTCAGTGTTCCGCACTTGTTTTGCAGCTTGTCTCAGGGGTTTCTCGGGTTCTCTATGGGAGCTCGAAGTTTAGCTGATGGAGACAAGGGGCCTCGTGCCTCAGTTCGGGCTCCTTCTGACCTCGCTTCGGCTGCATTGAGAAGATGAAGACGTCGTGCGTGGCGGGTGGGGCCAGGGACACCTTCCGCGACCCCCGCTCCTGCTGGCGGCGCCCGCGCAGGAGTGGCGCGAGCGCGGCGGCCTTCTGAGACGGCGGCGGGGCTTCCGAGAAGGCGGCGGGGGTCTTCCTGCGGCCTCGCAGCGGAGGCCCCCACGGAGGGCGGGACCTCAGCGGGGGCCTCCACGGAGGCCGCCTCCCTGACACGGCGGGACCTCAGCGGAGGCCTCCACAGGGAAGGCCCGCCAGGCCCCTGAGACGCCTCGCCGGAAGCCTCCCGCCCCGAGCCCGAGCCCGAGCCCGAGCCCGAGCCTAGGGCTGGACTCAAGCTCGAGTGCGAGTCCGAGCCCGCACGCGAGCGCGAACCCGAGCCCGAGCCCGGGCCCTAGCGCGAGCCCGAGCGCGAGCCCGAGTCTGAGCCCACGCCACTCCCTCGTGGGCGCCGCCAGCCCTGGGGGCCAGACCGGGCCGCAAGCCCCATCCCGGGCGCCCTCGCTGGTGCGCGAGGGGCTTGAGCTGGAGCCCCGGCCGCTGCAGGGGAGCCGCGCGCGGGCAGCTCGCGGGAGCTGCTCCTCTGTCCAGCGCGCGGCTGGCCCTGTGTGCGGCGGGGGGCCCTCTTCCAGGAGGGAAGGAGGAGGAGGAGGAGGAGGAGGAGGAGGAGGAGGAGGAGGAGGAGGAGGAGGAGGAGGAGGAGGAGAGGAGGAGGAGGAGGAGGAGGAGGAGGAGGAGGAGGAGGAGGAGGAGGAGGAGGAGGAGGAGGAGGACGATGAGGAGGAGGAGGAGGAGGAGGAGGGAGGAGGAGGAGGAGGAGGAGGAGGACGATGAGGATAAGGAGGGGGGAGGAGGAGGAGGAGGAGGAGAGGAGGAGGGAGGAGGAGGAGGAGGAGGAGGAGGAGGAGGAGGACGATGAGGATAAGGAGGGGGAGGAGGAGGATGAGGAGGAGGATGAGGAGGAGGATGAGGAGAAAAGACGAGGAAAGACGAGGAAAGAGGAGGAAAGAGGAGGAGGGAGGAGGTGGAGGAAGGAGGGGCGAATCTCTATGCAATATTTAAGACGAATGTGCGCGGAGCTAGGGCGAAATCCGTGGCTCTCTCAATTCGCGACGCTCTTGCCATCTTTTCCAATCATCCTCTGGTGTTGGGTCCTCGTTTTGAAGAGGCAGCCCCTCCCCCCGCGTCTCTCCTCCTTCCTCCCCCCTCCTCCCTCTTCCCGTCGTCATCATCGTCAGCATCATCATCATCAGCAGCATCATCACCGTCATCATCATCATCAGCAGCATCAGCATCAGCATCGTCATCGTCATCACCATTCGCATCGTCATCATCATCAGCAGCATCATCATCATCATCGTAGGAACTATCGTCATCACCATATCATCATCAGTACCATCACCAGCACCAGCATCATCATCAGCATCAGTATCATCATCAGGTTCACGTTTATCAGCATCGCCATCATCACCACCATCATGTTCGCATTCATCATCATCATCATCATCAGTTCATCGCCGCCATGGTAACAACTTCAGTGTGGAGTGTGCTGGGGCAGGGGTTCAGTGGCCGCACATATGGGAATATTCGTGTTCAAGCTTTTGAGGGGCATTCAAGCTGCCGCCACGCGTTTCCTTTCGGATCTCGCGCGCGGCGCCTCGCAGGCCCTGGTGGTGTGGTCGGCCTCGCCCTCACCGTCTCCCGCGTGCCCTGCCTGTACGTGCGAGTGCTCCCCGACATACAGCGTCTTCTGCCCGAACATCGACGGGCCCCATGCGCTGCAGGTCTTGACGGCCTGGGGCAGCCACATCGTGTTCTTCTTCTTCGGCCTGCTGGTGAGCGTCTTCGTGGTGCCCGCTATCTGGAGCTGGAGGTCGCAGGCTGCGGGCGTGAAGGCCTCAGTCCCATCGGAGGCGGTCAGCGCTGGCGCGGAGGGCGTGGCGCCGTCCGTCGAGCAGCTTTGCCGTTTGGCTTCGCAGCAGGCAAGGGCCGCCATTCAGAATGCCACTGCCAGGTGATGTGCACGCCGTTCGATACCGTGTGGGAGGACCCGCAGTATACCATGAGCGGACCACGTTGCTGGATGTGCCGCCTGAATCGGCTGTGGTCCTCACGGTGGACGGCGACGTTTACGAGGAGTCGACGGTCGTGGATGCGGACGTGCTCGAGGTGCGGCCTCTTCGGGGCCTCGGGGCTCCGCTGTTCGGCGTCGCCGAGCTCAACGCGTATCGGTTCGCGGCGGCGCCCGACGCGGTCACCATGTGGGCGCACATGCCGGCGGCCGCGATGCTGCGTGGCGTGCCCGTGCCCGCCTCGCCGTTCGTGTTGGCTGCAGGCGTGGGCGGCGGGGCCGCCTGGGCTCCGCAGCGCGTGCAGCTGGACGACCCCGCTGACGCGGCGGCCGTGGTGGCGGCTCCCCTTGCCGCGCCCCCCGTCGGCGGCGGCGCCGCTGGCTTAGGCGGAGCAGGGGCCTTGGCGGCCGCCCTGGGGGTGCCCGCGCCGCTTGCTGCAGCCCCTGCGGCCGCGCCCGCCGCGGCAGCAGGGGATCCCGCGGCTGCGGCAGCTGCCGCAGGCGCTGGGGGGGGGGGGGGGGGGGGCCGGGGGCAGACTGCCGCGTTCACCTGATAGTGCGCGACGCGGCTGGGCGGCGGGCGCTGGACTTCGCCACGGCGGCCCTGCTGGCCTCCTCCACGCCCAAGGCGGACTGGCCGATCAAAGGTCCGCGGACGACACCGTGGTGCCTCGATCGCACGAGGCGCAACGCGGGCGGCCCGCTGGCGTGGCGCTCCAAGTGGAAGGCGGAGGCGATGCTGCGCGACACGGACTCGATCTGCCAGCAGCACGAGATGAACAGCAGGCTGCTCGAGCTAGGCAGACTAACTGCGCGGAGTTGGCGTCGCACGAGCTGATCCGCCGCCAGAGCCAGCTCATCGAGGAGCGGCGCTGCGAGGACGCCGTCTCCGCGCAGGTGGCCGCGGGGGACAAGAAGGCGGGGAAGGACAAGAGCGCCAAAGCTGCCAGCGCGAGCTTGCTGGCGGTGGAGGCGGGCCACTACATGGGGGGGGTCGGCGAGCAAGGGCAACCTATGCATCGCGCCAGCCCCCGCGGACTTCATCGTTGACCAGTTGAAGGCGGAGGCCGCCATTGCCGGGGAAAGGCGCGAAGCCCGCGAGGAGCGGGCGGCGCGCGCATAGCCCTTCGAGAGCTTCTCCCAGGCGGGCGCAGGCGCTTCGGCGCCGCCTGGGCGAGCCCTGCTTTTTCGTGGGGGCTGCGCCTCCACCAGTGTTGTCGCGATGGACCCTGGAGTTCGTCAGCGTAATGTGTTCCCCTTACCTGCTCTGGCGGTGGACGCTCGCGTGGAAGCTTGCCGCAGCCGTCGGGGGCGCCAGCGCGCCCAGCGCGGCGCTGCTTGGCGGAGGTGGGCCAGCGACGGCATCGCAGCCCTGAACCAGCTGAGCGGCCACTTCTCTCCCGCCTGGTTTAACGGCATCGGCGGCGCAGGCGAGCGCGATGGATCGCATCTCTCAGGCCTATCAATATTTTCCGCTACCTCCTGAATATCATGAGGATGCTCATTCTGGCGAAGCAGCCTTGACAGAGCTGCTCGCGTCGGCGCCTGGGTACTCCTCTGACTCCCAGCGCGTCAAGCCCTACAACAAGGACCTGGTGTCCTGGCCTGATCTCTCGACGGCTCCAGTTGATGTCGCTGACCTCGTCGGGGAGGCCGAGCGCGAATGTTTGTCGGGATGGAGACGGACCATGCTCAAGGGTGAGTCGTCTGCTTCAGACCCTAGAGCGGCTTCGGTGCCGCAGCGTCCATACGTCGACCCGATTTTGGGCAACAGCCCCAGGGCCTGCGCCGGCTTCGTGAGGAAGTTGCTGGAGGGCGGTATGATATCCTTCCGTGTGGCGCGGGCTGGTGATCCTTATAGCTTGGGTTTTTTCTTTGCCGAGAAGGTTGGCAAAGGCGCGCTTCGCCTCGTCTTCGACACGAGGGTGGCGAACGAGGGTTTCGCGGCGCCGCCCAAGACCACGCTCCCCGCGGCGGCGGCGCGGGCCGCCCTGGAGTCGGGCCACCCCGCGGTGCTGGCCCAGGGCGACATCCAGTGCGCCTTCTACCACATGCTCGTGCCGAAGGGCATGGAGGAGTTGTTCACGCTGCCCACCATCTCCTATCGCATGCTCAATGTCAAGCAGCTCGACGGCCTCCCCATCCCTTCCGATTGCTTCCTCCAGCCGGTGGTGCGCGTCCTGCCGATGGGCTGGAGCTGGTCGCTGCTGTTCTGCCAGAGCATCATGAGGAGGGCCCTCGCCCACTGCGGGTTCGGCGACGGCGACCTCATCGAGGATGGCCGCCCGAGCCCCGCCCTCTCTGCCAAGGGCAGCGTGGCGGCAGCGGGCTACGTCGACAACTTCGCCATCGTGGGGGCCGACCCCATCGCCGTCACCTCCGAGAGGGATGAGGTGACTCGCGCGCTGGAAGCTCGGGGGCTACCTGTGCACTCGCTCGATACCGCCTCGGCCGTATCCGTCTTCACGGGTCTCGAGATCAACGGCAACCTTGGGGCCGTGAGGGTGAAGCCTGCTAACGTCATGCGCCTTCGGCAGGCGCTGCTGGCGGTGTTGCGGCGAGGCGCCGCCTCGCCTCGCATGCTCGAAGTCCTTCTGGGCCACATCACGTGGACGATAATTTGTAAAAGAGAGACCCTCTGCATCCTGTCGTCTGTCTACGCCTTTAAGTCCCAGAAGGACCCTGGAGTCAGGCCCCTGTGGGCCTCCGTCAAGTTCGAGCTTCGGTGTGTGCCTAGTACTTTACCTTTATGGACTTCGCACATGAACATCCCCTGGGGCTCCCACGTCTCGGCTTCGGACGCTTCTCCGATCGGTGTGGGCGTGTGTGCTCGCAAGGAGGTCGGGCCTCGGGTGGCCGACCTTGGGAGGCAGGCGGAGAGGTGGAGATGTCGTTGCACTTCGGCGGTTTCGGCACGTTCGAATGCGCTGGGTCTCGGAGGGGCCCCCGACGACTTCGACATCATCGAGGGTTTCTTGGGCTCGAACCCCGAGGGCTTCAGCAAGGGCTTCAACGAGATCCCCGAGGAGCTCATGCTGGTCTCGTCTTGGGTCACCGTGATCTCCAGGAGGCATTGGAACCCGTCCAAGAACATTTTAGAGCACGAGGGTGACGCGCTGTGCGACGCAGTTCGGCACGCCACCCGCAACGTTTCGCTTCATCACCATCGCCTTTTGTTCCTTGTAGATAACTTACCTTTGGCTCTGGCGGCTGACAAGGGACGAGGCCGTAAGCCGACCCTTCGGCGACCTTTGCGGAGGATCGCCGCGCTCGCGCTGGCCACCAACCTTCGGTGCTATGTGCGGTGGATACCATTTGAGCTGAACGTCGCGGACGGGCCATCCCGTCATGGCTTCTTCCACGGCAAAAGCTTCGAGGAGGCGCGCCTCTCCTCGGCGGTTCGCTCCCTCCCTGAAGCAGACTGCTGCTCCGATCGTGGCGGCTCAGGCGGCGGTTCACCCTCGGGCCGAGGAGTTGTTCGAGGGGTCCTCAGCTTCCTCGGGAACTCAGCGGTGACCGACCCTGCTCGGGCTCGGTACCGCTGCCGCGCCCTGCGATTCCTGGAATGGCTGGGCTGGCACGACCTGAACTTCACCACCGCCAACCAGCTGGACAGCATCATCGTGTGCTTCCTGACGGACTCGGCCCTGGACGGTTTCGACGCAGCGACGGGGGGGATGACGGTCGCGGCGCTGCGCCACTTCCTGCCGCACATCCTCGTCGGGAAGCGGCCGCTCCCGCGGTCGGCGCGAGCCCTCGATGGGTGGCGCCGCCTGGAGCCGCCGCAGATGTGCCTGCCTCTCCCTCGCTCGGCCGCGATGGCAGTCGCAGGCTGGCTCATCTGGAAGAACCTGCCCAGTTTGGCGGTCTTCGTGGCGCTGGTTTTCCACGCGTACCCCAGGCCGTCGGAGGCCTACATGTTGCGCGTGGGCTCGCTGGTGCCGCCGATCCCAGGGTCGGGCTTCAACGCGTGGGGCATCATCGTGAACGTGCCGCCCTGGCAAGACGGGGGTGATGGACGAGCGGGTGCTGGTCGACGCCCCCGAGCTCTGGCCCGTGCTGCACGCGCTGACGCTCAACGCGCCCGCGGACGTCAGCCTCTGGAACTTCAGGCCCGCCGACGCGCGCGCGATGTTCCGCCAGGCCTTGCACGAGCTGGGGCTGCAGAAGGAGTCTCCGTCCTTGCACACCCTCCGTCATGGGGGGGCCTCGCGCGACTTGCTCTCGGGCGCTCGGACGATAGCAGAAGTCAAGGAGAGGTGGAGATGGATATCAGACAAATCTTTGAGGGGGTACGGCAAGAGGACTCGCGCGCAGCAGCGGATCAGGGACCTCCCGCCTCAGATCGCCGAGTTCGGCGAGCAGGTGCTCGCGAGGCTCCCGGAGCTGATCGAAATCAAGTTCGTGAAGGGCAGCTTCCCGCTGCCAGCGCCGCTCCAGCCGGCGCCCGCCCTGCCTCGGGATGTGAAGCGGGCGCCCGTTCTGTCCAGAAAGTAGCTTCGCGCATGCGTGCTGCCTTCCGACGTGCCTTTGCGTGGGCGCCCCGTCGCCGTCGGCTCGTTCTGCCAGTGGTTGGGCCCCGCGGGGCCCCCATTTGCAAAGCACTGCGCCGTCGCGGTTTGGGTTGCCCCTCGCTTGGTGCAGGTCGAAATGTGGGCCTTGCGCTGTGCGATCAGGGCGTCGTCGATCGACTCCTTGGGTGGATTCGATCGTCGGTGGTCTGTGCTTGCTGGCTGTCTTTGCCACGCGGGTCTTGGATCGAGTCTGGGTCCCCGCCTGTCCGCTCAGCGTCAGACCCGTGGGGTCGGGCCGCGCCTGCTAGCCTGCGGTTGCAGCTCCCGACGTTTGTGGTTGACAATGTCGGGATGCGCGCAGCCCTCAAAGTCATTCGTGCCTGTGTCGACTTGTCTGTACCTGTCTGTCTTGAGCACCCGCGTGCCAGCTTCATGTTTGCGTTGCCTGAGTTTGGGGCTCTAGTTAGTCTCCCGTCGTTTCTTCAAGTGGACCTGGACCTCTGCCAATTCGGAGCGGTAGCCCGCTCGGCCACACGAGCGTTCTGCTGGCACTGTCCTCAGCTCCAGCGCCTCAGCGCTTGTTGCCGTCTGCGTGGCATAGCGCGCCCGGGATCGGGGCGACCTCATTTACAATTCGACGGCCGCACGGCCAGAGGCGTGGCTTGCCGCTGCAAAGCTGCGCGCTTCCCCGTCCGAGCTGCAGAGCTGGTGGCCGACTCCATCGTTGATGCTATAGATGATCTGTCTCGGTCCAGGTTGTATGGCCTCTGCGGCCTGCGGCCATGATGTAGTGTTACACAGTGTACGTATGTGCTGCCTGCAGTGTCTGTCGCCACTCGTGGACTTGATGCATCGTTTCTTGCCATCGCCACCGTCAGCTTTTCTAAAAAGGAACGCTATGGCCACGGCGGCCCTCCTCGGCACGGTAACAACTTTAATGTGGAGTGTGCTGGGGCAGGGGTTCAGTGGCCGCACATTGGTGAATATTTGCGCTCAAGCTCCCAAGCCCGCCCGCCCTCGCTTGAGGGTTTAATTTCGCAATTCGACGTCTGTGCTGCCTGCAGTGTCTGTCGCCGCTCGTGGACTTGATGCATCGTTTCTTGCCATCGCCACCGTCAGCTTTTTCAAAAAGGAACGCTATGGCCACGGCGACCCTCCTCGGCATCATCATCATCACCATTTTATCAGCATTCTCATCATCATCGTCATCTTCATAACCATCATCATCACCATCATTACCATCATCGTCGTCAATATCAGCATCATCACCATCATCACCATCACCACCGTAATCATCACCACCGTCATTATCATTATCATCATTGCCATCATCGTCATCATCATCATCGCCATCATCATCATCATCATCATTATCATCATTTTCATTTCCATCATCATCATTACCACCATCATCACCATCATCATCACCATCATCATGCTACAAGTAATCGCTGATGTTGTTTAAGGGTAACGTCAGGGTGCCCCCAAACATGTTTGCCTGTTCTCAGGGGAGGACCATGGTACCCCTGGGACCCAGGAAGATCATGTTGCCATCGTACTGAGCTCCAAGTTTCACACGGGGGTCCCCCAATGACCCCGATAGCTCGACCATCTCTTAAATGTTGTAACCGATGATTCGTACCAGTTTGGTGTGTTAAATCACCTAGCTCAGGATCTATGGCCACGTTCAGGGAAATAACTATAATTTGGTATGGTGCCTCTGAGGTCGCAAACTCAAAACATTCTTGCGAATCACCTGCTCGCCGAGCGCCAGAGAACATATGAAGAAATACATCCACCGTGTACTTCATTTCTGCCACGATGCTAGAAGTCTTAAAATCGGTAAAGTCCTCTCGGCGGTAGGGGAAGTCGTTAGCATAACTATCATGGTGAGAAGGAGGAGGAGGAGAAGGAGGGGGAGGAGTAGGTACGTGTAGTATTTGGGCGCCTGGATATCCTGCTTGGTGTTCCTATTCGGAGATTGGGGTACTTAGCCGTGGACTTAAATAACCTCCTGCAGGACAGAACTGGTATTCAGCCTCTCGGAGCATCTGAGCTGCTTCTGCTTGTGTTAGGATGCACTGCTGCAATAACTGCTGGCGAGCTGCACGTTGCCGGCATACCTTCACACGAGCGCCTCGCCTGGGCACTCCTTGGGTCCTATCATGTGCACGCTGCTTCTTGCTCTCTTGTTCGATCACAGCCTGCTGCTCCTCCGATAGAGGCGTTAAATGAAATTGTGCAAGCAAGAGGCAGCGTGGTGTGCTGTACGCAAGATGATCCTTCGCAAGCTCGATGGATGAAAACTGACGGGCACAGACGCTGCAAGATTTGGTGTCCACATACCTGGTCGCCATGCGACGAGACTGAAAGTGCTGAGCGCCAGCGTGTGCATTTTTTTTGGGGGGGGGAGACCTCGTGACGGAAATAACATTCATATCGTGACTCATCTTGAGCATGAGAAGGTACCAAATATCGAGGATGAGGAAACCCGTTATCATGTGTTAGGGTCAGAATATGTTGTAACCGTAATATGCAGAATGATTATGTGCATGTTTTTTTACGTGTGCCTGAACAGCTGACTCAATTTTGGAGTGCCACTTTGGAAGAGACCCCAAGATCAATGTCTCCCAAGCCCGAAAGTCTGTCCCTGGAGAGGGTATCTGTCTGAGCTCCGCACGTCGGATCCTCATCCACCTAAGGCCCTCCTCAAGCTGAACTCTCCAACCGAACGAGGGCACCTTGAGGTGGCAGCCACGAGGGCCCTGAGAGGCTGGGGCCCGAAGTGCAAAACCTTGCCTAGATACCTAAGGCGATGCCATCTGAGAGTGGTCTCGATGTCGGGGCGCTGAGGTTGAACGAGCACATGGACAGTAGCAGCTGTCTTCTTCGAGTGCACTGGTAGCCTTGAAGCAGCACGGTACACTCTCGCCACTTGGGTCTATAGCTTTGCCAGCTGCCCAGCCAAGAGTGGAGACCACGCGCAGACACTGTGTAAGTGGCCCGACTGCATACGGCAATCTCCAAGAAGGAGTGCGCTGTGATCAGTGGTGGTGTTGCTCTTGCAGACTGTCCTTCGGAGCGTTGAAAGGGAGCCTGTTGTTTCTCGCGTCCGATGCGCGAGTTCAGCAATAATATCACCAAGGCGTCGATACCTGTGGACGGCGGGAACGGCAAAGCCTTGGGGAGCACCTGGGGTGCCAGGAAGGTGCAGGAAGCCTGTCCGAACATGCCACAGCTCACGGTAAACCTCTTGCTTGCCTGATCCCCAGAACTGAGAGAGCGTGATCCACCGCTGCTTTACTGTGGAGAATCCCCCCCCCCCCTCTTCCTCTGGAACCCGGGGGTTCCCCCCCCTTCGAAAATCCCCCCCGCCCTGCTGGAACCCCTCTGCCTTTCCCCCTCCAGAAAACCATGGGGGGTCACTACCGGTTCGAACTCCCCCCCCAGAAAATTTGGGGGGGTCACTACCGGTTCGAATCCCCCCTCCCCCCCACTCGCCGCCGGCAAACGACTCCCGAGTCCCCACCACCGTCCGCACCACATCCCCCACCGCTGTCCCCAGCATCATGGTCCCCCACCGCTGTCCCCCACCGCTGTCCCCACCACGGTCCCACTCTCCCCACTTTCCCCACGGTCCCCACCACTGTCCCACTGTCCTCACTGTCCCACTGTCCCCGCCGCTGTCCCACTGAGTTGTCCCACTGTTCCCACCACTGTCCCCACCACTGTCCCCACTGTACCTCTGTCCCATTGTCCCACCACCGTCCTCGCCACCGCCCTCAACACTGTCCCCACTGCCCCCACCACCGTCCCCACTGTCCTCACCAGTGCCCCCACCACTGTCCCGCTGTCCCCACTGTCCCCACCACTGTTCCCACCACGCTCCCACTCTCCCCACTTCCCCCACTGTCCCCACCACTGTCCCCACCGTTCCCACTGTCCCACTGTCCAACTGTCCCCACCGCTGTCCCACTGGGCTGTCCCACTGTTCCCACCACTGTCCCCACTGTCCCCACCACTGTTCCACTGTCCCCACTGTTCCCATCATTGTCCTCGCTGTCCCCACCAGTGCCACCACCAGTGTTCCACTGTCCCCACTGTTCCAACCATTGTCCCACCAGGGTCCCGCTCTCCCCATTGCCCCCAACGTCCCCACCACTGTCCCACCGTCCCCACTGTTCCCACCACTGTCCCACTGTCACAGTGTCCCCGCCGCTGTCCCAGTGTGCTGTCCCACTGTCCCCATTGTCCCCGCCACTGTCCCACTGTCCCCACTGTCCCCACCACTCTCCCCACTGTAATTCTGTCCCACCACCGCCTTCACCACTGTCCCCACCACTACCGTGGTCCCACTGTCCCACCACTGTCCCTACCACTGTCCCGCTGTCCCCTCACCACTGTCCCCACTGCCCCTACTGTCCCTACCATTGTTCCACTGTCCCCACTGTCCCTACCACTGCCCCGCTGTCCCCTCACCACTATCCGAATTTCTTGCAATTTGCTCAAGCGCCGCGCTCCCGACACCCAGGCACCCAGGAGTCGCGCTCACGCTTAGGACTCCCTCGCAGATTACCTAGGAATCGGGATCTTGCTGCCCTTCGTGGTCCCGTTGCAGCCCTTCGTGCCCCCCTCGCTGCCCTTCGTGGCCCCGTTGCTGCCCTCAGTAGCCCCGTCCTTGCCCTCCGCGGTCCAGTATACGTATGCCCTTCGTGGCCCCCGTTCGTTCGCGCCCGTTGTGGCCCGTTGTGGCCCCATGTGCATGCCCTTCGTGGCCCCGCTGTCGCCGTTTGTGGCCCCCTCACTGTCGTACGTGGCCCAGTTGCTCCCCTCAGTGGCCCCATCGTTGCCTTCTGTGGCCCCGCATTATCTGCACTTCGTGGCCCCCGCTCGTTCGCGCTCCTCGTGGCCCCATACGCATTCCCTTCGCGTCCCTGCTGTCGCCCTTCGTGGCCTACT